GACACCCGCCCGCCTCCTGCACACCCCACTCGGGGGCCCCTCGGTGGCGGCTTCCAGCACAGGGAGGGGAGCAGGGGCCAGGGTGCAGTCGGGTGGCCTCTGGGCTTGCTCGGTCCCGCCGGCCGCACTCACCACGTTTGTGTCCCCGAGAGGAGCACTGTGCATCCGTGGTCCCCACAGCCCCCCAAGGAACGGGAGTGGGGGGCAGCCCCAGGGGCTCCAACCGGATGAGGTTTTCCCTCTGAGTGTCAGGGACCGAGAGGCACAACCCAGACAGCCCCTCATGGCGCTGCGAGCTCATCTGCACACAAGTGCCACCGTGCCAGGGCCCCGGGCGGCGGGTTTGTGCCCACCGCCCACACTGGGGTCCCCCCACCCACACTGCGGTCCCCCCTCCCGCACTGGGGTCCCCCCGCCCGCACTGGGGTCATCTCACCTGGACCTGTGTCCTCTGGCTGAGCCCATCTCCTTCAGCGACTGACCCCTCAGGATAAACGGGTCAATGGGAGGTCCCTGCCGGGTCTCGTCCTGCACTGTGTCCCTGCACAGCCTGTCGCCCCCCCGGGAACACTGTCCCTCAGCACAGTGCCAGGCCCCTCGGACAACAGACACAGCACGGGGCCCCCAGGCGCCCCCACACCACACACACCTCTCCAGTGAACTGGACTCCACCCAGCTCCCAACTCCTGGTCAGAGCCACCCAGTGTCCTTGTCACCTGCTGGCGGGTGTAGGAGGTCAGAGGACAGACTCCTGGGACTATGACGGGGTGCGGAGCTGGGGACCCCGAGGGCAGGCGTCCGCCTCCCGACCCCGAGTCCCGGCCTGGCAGCTCAGATCCAGTGCTTCCGTCTCCACAGCAGGCCCTTCCTGGGAGTTGGTGTTTGAACGAGGGGTGACCTAGACCCCCCGCCCCCCGGAGACCTGTCCAGCCTCGGGCTTCATGCCGCGTGCGGGCGGCAGCCGGAACTTGTCTCTCGCCTCCCACCAGCAGACCCCACGCAGCCCCAGCACGAAGCACACTTCTCAGGGG